GAAAGTGTTTTTTCTCAAGCTGCATCACCAAACCAAAGTAATAAATGCGGAGAAATTATTCCTCATTCAAGAGACCACAACTGGCCAATTTCTTCAGACGTACACATAGGGCACTGCAGATAATTGTAAAATGTTTGCAACACGTGTGCAAATTATAGGGATATAAGTTTACTACAGCCGATCCGATTCGTTTGCAGACCACGGTGTTCCTGACGCTTTGTGACATCCGGTGTTCTTCAAAGTACTAGTCCATTTAGGATGTTAGTCAAGGCTTTAACTAATTAAAGTGAAGCCATAAAAATTTCACTTTATTTAAGAACTTGTAAGTTTTGGTCAAAGTACCAAGTGCGGAAATTATTGTAACCCGTGGATAAACTATCCATGTACGTCTTACCCCCAGGACTGTGGGGTTCCTCGTCCACCGCACTCCCACGACGACGAACCCCACAGTTCTGGGGTATGTACATGTACAAATGCCATTAAATGGAATGAGGGGGGAAGTCGTGTTCTTCATGTTCATCAGTTTGGCATCTGCATATTTTATGGCGTATTTTATGACATCACCACACGAATCCAAAACCACAGGCTACATGTATTTTTGTACTTCATATACCTATACAGAGAAAAGCGAGAGCGAGGTACGATCAGAAGAGATGGAGACCTTTACCAAGCTGTACACCGAACTGAAGGGTCCTAGCAAACAGCAGGATAAGAGTTACTCCGTCATCCCAAGGTTTTACTATAAGGTAGGTGTACTGGAAAGCAGCAACTGCAAGCCACTTCATGCTGTTTGATATTAACATGTCAACTTTTGTCGGGGTGCCAAGGTTGGCTACAACTTGGAGTAGTGTCGGAGTTCAAAGTTCATAACCTGTATGTTAACTGTTAGCATGTTGTGTAATGGCAGTGTCTTAGATCTGTTCATATTTATTGTTGCAGCTTCCAAGTGAGGATGAGGTGTTGCTCCAAAAACTCCGAGAAGAATCCAGGTGAGAATAATTTGAATAAGTTTATGTCACCAAGGATGGAGTTTATGTCTGTGCACGTCACTGTCAATAAGGAAGTATACCATAGTCTGTTCCAATCTGATTTAGCTCTTCCAGGCTGTATGTCTAGTTGCAAAGGTCATTGGGAACGGATGCTAGTCCGTAGCAAGATCCAAGATCCTTTTGAGGCATAGCCATATTGTTTGCAGCATGGATAAAGTGTGGTCCTTTTTTGTGACTAGGCCTTGCATTTTATCAAACACACGTTGTAGTAAGAGCTCGCTGTTTGTCAAAGTGAAGAGCTCCAAGTTCAGTTGGACTGGAATGGAGTGGACAAGTTTTTATGCCAATATCAAACATGACGAACACGTATTCCTACAGTACATGTGCTTTCAATATTGCCATTACAGGGCTGTGTTTCTTCAGCGGAGGAGCAGGGAACTGTTAGACAACGATGAGTTGCAAGTATGTACATTAGCCTTTTCGAAGCATGGCAGACACAACAAGATGGCGCTATTTGAAGTGGGTAAATTTGGAGCAAACACAAAAGATTTTACCAACTTCTAATAGTGCCCTCCTGTTATGTCCCCCATGCTTCGAAAAGGCTAACGTATTCTGTACCTTGGATCAATGTATTACTCCATTCTACACTTGCGAACCCTCTTGAAACAATTCTGCCCAGTTGAAATAATTTTGAAGTAGTTTTGATGAAGGTTTCTACCTCTTCACCCTCACAGAACAGTTCTTGGGAGTTTGAGTTTTGTTTCTAAGAGTACAAACAAAAACGAGAGCTTGTGACGCGTGGTTTCAGTGCCCAACTTGAGGAGGGAACCTTCATGCATTTGTGAGACTGGAATGGACTGGGACGGTGACTGGGTGAACAGTAGCTATGATTAATGAGAAAGGCTGCACTGAAGTTGGAGCGATTGGACCGCACATCAGTCCAAATCAAATCAACACAATAGTTAGCTCTGCCTATCAATGATTCATGTACTCTTAGGTGGGTTTCAGTCATCAGTGAGGAAAGCTTGAGCTTGGCATTAAACTGGTTTCTAAATATCTATCCCTCGGTGCAGAACCTGTGGTTTTTGCTGGACAAACACCACACCCCACCAATGGTCGGCGAGGATCAAATGATCAACTACGAAGATTTTCTCAAGGTGGCCACTGAAGCTGGGCCTAAGTGCAAGTAGGTTTTCCCAAATCCAGACCTCAAAAATTGGGCAGGTTTTCTTGCACCATGCAAGTTAAAAATCTGTGTACTTTTTAATTCCTAATTATCCAGAAAAATGAAAATGTATGTTATACTCTGCAACATGTAGTTTGTGCTTGTCAGGAACAGCTTTAAACCTTGAGATATTTTCTTTAACTTTCTGCCTCTTAAACAAATAAAGTGTAATTTATGAAATTTAACTTAAATCTTATCAGTCATCAACAAAGATGAGTATGTGTTGAATAATTTCTATCATTTGGCATCGTGTTTTTAGAAATTAGAACCCAATGGAGCAGTTTCATCTGTGAGCATATCCTCACAGGTGAATTAAGTTGGTTTCTCCATTTTCAAATAGGTTTTGGATGGCATTTCCTTTTTCTTCCCCCGCCCCTTCAGGCCTTTCTTCACTGCCACGGTCTTTGCCAAGTTGCTGCAGACAGATCCCTACGGCCGAATATCCATCATGCAGTTCTTCAACTATGTCATGCGGAAAGTGTGGCTCCACCAGACCCGAATCGGACTCAGCCTGTACGACGTGGCCGGTCAAGGCTACCTCAAAGAATCAGTGAGTCACATGTTTGACTGACTCCCGCTGTTTTCTGTTACGCACTTCAAAAAAGGGGATTTTGTTCAACGCTCTCTGCAAAATATAAAGGCTAAATTGCGCTTGAAGGAATAAGCTTGACAGATTCGTTAGCTCAAGAGAATGACGATTTGTCGGGATGCTTTTTTTTTCTGTAAGTTTGTAAGTTTAAAATTAAAGAGAGGGTGGACAAAATTGATTTGAAAAGGCTTGACTTGATTTCAGACTGGAAGTCTGGTATTTGTTTTGTGATGGTCCTTCGGGATCTTGTCGTAGTCTTAACGGGTCTCGCTTACAACACACTACTCAACCATGGGTGTAGACTGCTTTGGTTCTGAAGGAATGCTCTGTCGTAACCAATGTTTGGATCTCATTTGTGAAGGATCTTGAGAACTACATCCTGGAGCTAATCCCCACCTTGCCTCAGCTTGACGGACTGGAGAAATCCTTCTACTCCTTCTACGTCTGCACAGCCGTCAGAAAGTTCTTTTTCTTCCTGGATCCAATGAGAACTGGTGAGCTGCAGAAGTTGATATTTGTATGCATTTGTTACTTGACCATGTGGAGTTTGCTAATATTATGGTGTCGTGGATGGATAGGCTGATACTGTCAGAGAGTTGGTTGGCAGGTTTGTGTATTCCTTAAAAGCACGGGAGTGTGCTTCCTTGTATGCTGTCCCCCTGAGAGAGAATAAGGGACTGTTTGGAGACGGGGGGGACGCTAATGGGATCTGAAGTAACCACTTCAGTGGTGCTTGATGAGTGTGCGTTGAAGTCTGTAGCCAGTCCAAACTATTGTGAGCCTTTGTCTGCTTAGGAGTGCTCAATGGGGGCCCCTCATCACTGATAATGGTGCAAATATTAATTAAAGATCGATTGAAAATGTCACAGAAGTGCCTGCGCTTTGCAGTGACAGTTGCTTTCTTCTCACCTGAGTCCGTAGTTGTGCTTATGGATGGAAGGGTTGTCCTTTGCTTCCTCTGTCCTGTTGCAGGCAAGATCAGGATCCAGGACATCTTAGCCTGCAGCTTCCTGGATGACCTGCTGGAGTTGAGAGATGAGGATCTGCCCAAGGATGCCCAGGAGTCCAACTGGTTCTCAGCACCCTCGGCACTCAGAGTGTACGGTCAGTACATCACCCATGGACCAAATCCGATCATGAGATCGTGCACCAAAGTTGTGGTTGAGTTTATCTCAAGTCCGATGTCATTAGAAGTCAGTCACATGCCATCCAGTCTTAAGTGACAAGCCATTCAAATGAACTGTGATAGAGGCACTGCCTTGGTATAGCTCATCCCTTGTAGCATGTGACCAGACTTGCGAAGTGAGTCTGACTGTGAAGGACTGGACCACAACGTTGCCATTCAATCAAGAAGTTCACGGCATAATTAGAAGCCACGGTGCTAACCACTGTTAACAACGACAGCCCCATGAGGGTTCTTCTGATCTTTAGTTGGCATGCGTTAAATTCCTAGTACAGCACTCCCTTAAATAATTCTCTACCAGCCGTGAAACCTTCATTCACATCCCTTGATTTCCCCTTGTTGATTTGTACATTGGACTTTGGCTACACTTTACCGTTGCAACCTTGGCTGGGAGGGACCCAAGCGTACAATGATCTCAGCCTCGGACATGTCTGTAATAAAGCGGGAAGTATTATGTCCCCTAACCCCCAGGTCAATATCTGAACCTAGACAAGGACCACAACGGCATGCTGAGCAAGCAGGAGTTGGCCCGATTTGGCACGGGAACACTGACTAATGTATTCCTGGACAGGGTCTTCCAAGAGTGCCTTACCTACGACGGAGAAATGGTAAGCAAACCCCTAACCCCCGCACGACCGCCGTTATCCCGATTTTTATATTTCTCTTTTGGAACTGCACTGAACGAGTTTCATTACAGAGGGAAAGAGGGGAAGGAAATTGAAACCTGCTTCGTGACAGGTTGAATCAATCATTTTCCAAGACCATTTTTTGTCTTTACTTGATTGCTTTGCTTTCACAGTTTACCATTGTTCTCATCAAGCACACAGCAAGGTTAAACAAGCGCCATCAGTTAACTAGTCCACTGATTCCCGATGCACCATTCCTCAGTGGTAGTCCCGCACTACAAAGGTCTCTAGTTAAACTGCCACTGCACTAGCCAATCCCTGCTCCCTACTGGGCATCGGGACAGGTAAAGGATGTGACCAAGCTTGGCAGACTGATCCTTAATAGTCACCATGACTAATCTCACCATAGCCAACCGGCATGCCCCTGATCAGAGTTGTTTAGACTGGGGTCAACCATGGTCCTTTATTGCACTTTCTCATTATTTGCTTCATGTCCTAGGACTACAAGACCTACCTGGACTTTGTTCTTGCCATGGAGAATCGGAGAGAGCCCCAGGCGTTGCAGTACTTCTTCCGTCTCCTTGATGTGCAGGGCAGGTCCTATCTCAATGTCTTTGCTCTCAACTACTTCTTCCGTGTGAGTATGTAATTACCAAGGGAATGGGTTTTGTGGAAATGCTTTGGCCGTCATGTCAAAGTGCTGTTGGGTATTGAAAGTTTCTTATCCTTAATATAAAGTTGCCAGTGTTGTGGTCAAATACTGGTAGGTAGCCAGACTTTCACACTCTGGTGTCAATGCACTGGCAATCCCCAAAATGTGGCACCAGGCTAAAAAGACTGTCATTAGCTTGCACATCATGTGAACTTTGCATCAGTTATTATACATGTATGTACTTTCACACACGTGATCGTTTGGAATAGTTGTTGAATAAAGGAATGTCCTTGTGAAATACTGGACTACTGTGCTGTAACTTGCTTCATAATGCTGGCTTTACTCCAGACCTACCTTGAAAAGGCCAGAGTTTGAAATTTTCCCTGTTGAAATCATTCTGTTGATTGGAAATACTGAGTCATGAATCCAGATCAAGAGTGAAGCGATTCTGCTTCATCATGTGCATTTTCAGGCAATCCAGGAGCAAATGAGACAGCACGGCCAAGAGCCCATCTCCTTCGCCGATGTGAAGGACGAGATCTTTGACATGGTCAAGCCGGCCGATCCCCTCAAGATCACGCTGCAGGATCTCATCAACAGGTGGGTTGGTTTCTTTTCTCAGGCTGTGATTAAAACAATGCTGAGAAATTTTTTCAGTCTTGAGCATTTTCCGTTTGGTTTCTCCAGCAATCATGGCGAGACTGTAGTCAGCATCCTGATTGATCTGAACGGTTTCTGGACCTATGAGAACCGAGAGGTCCTCATGGCTGAGAACAACGCCACCAATCAGGCAGAGGGCAGTCAGCAGGACCAAGACATGTGAGTGAAGATCTGACTGCAACAAAATAGACGGACTGAGTTGTTCGGAATTGGTGGGCTGACAATTTACCAGCAGTTTGTGTCGTAAACCCGGTAACAAGAGAGAGAACAGACCAAGGCTGTGCTGTGTGCCGGTGGAGATTTTGATCTGCTGAGATCTTGAAGGAAAGACTTATTTGTATGATAGCCAACTGCAGATGTGATGTGGGCTTACAACATGCTGGAAGTCCGTGCTGGAACTATGGTTGGCGCTGTGATGCCTTGCGCTTCACTAGATCTTGAAGATGCATCCTGTGTGGGTGCTTGGTTGATGGGTCACAACCACTTTCAATTTTCCACCTCTGAGGTTTCAGCCAGAGAGGTGTCTTGCACCTTTTCTGAGGACAACATGGAAGCTGTTTTTGACATCCCAATCTGTTGTGCAGATGAATGTCACAGCATGCAGAACTTCAACAATTTAAACTGTCGCTCGTTTGAAGGCAATTTTGGATACGTCAACCGAAGAACCATATTATCTGTGCATAAGATTATCGCATGGGATAGGGGGCCAGGAAGGGGTGTTAATAATGCTGCTTAACATTGGTTCTACTCAAAGCATGGGCCATGTTCAATCGGCAACCATTTGTTTTTTTCCAGTGGTAGAGAAGTCATTTGAATGCAGACAAAAATCATACCGACAGAAGTAGAAAACCTGGGTGTTGCAGGAAAAAAAAAACAGTTTGAAGAAATTCTGGGTCCGAGTTGGAAATTCTTGTGTCTTCTACAGCTAATCTTAAAAGTGTAAATACACCTCTAGGTCATTGACGAGATGTTAACTTATTGAACCTGTAAAGGCTACAGTCATCGTGTATATCATGTAATAGATTTTTCATTTAAAAACTGATTGTAACTATGTAAGAGTTTTGCAAGACATTGTTTGTGTTCGGGCATGTGGTGAGTTTTGCTCTTCACCAACTTGCATTTGTTGCACAGTATAATGTTGTCTGAGGGCTTGTGAAAAAATTCACAGGCTGACAGGGGTGGGACTTGAAGTGAACTCATGGTCCTCTGCTTACTAGTGCAGAGGTCTGAATATCCAACCACCAAGCTTGCGGGCTAAGGACAAGTTTAATACAGGCGATTCACAATAGTGCGCCACCAAGAGTTTGCAACACGTTGGCCAATCATAACGCGCCAAATTTGTCAACCCTTTCCAAACGCGCATTGGGTCAACAAATTTTGCGCATTGTGATTGGCCAACGCGTTGCAAACTCTTGGTGGCGCACTATTGTGAATCGCCCGTATTCTATGTGCAGCAGGCACTTTACCAAGCATCTTATGAATAAGAGATTAATTTTCTTTGCAAGGGTTGTTACATATCAGCAGACATTTATGAAAATGAAACCATTTCATTTCTTCTCCAACTTGATTGACTTTCCAAGGTCATCTCAACTGCAGTAGGCACTAATTCAAACCCCCTTTGTAATGACAAGGGCCTCGTATCACACAATCCACACCACAGAGTAACCATAAAAAAGACATGCAAAACATATCCAGTTTTAAATTTTATTACGATTTCTGTAACAGAGACATACAATAACCCATGTAAACAAATTCTATCCTATGGAAATAAAATGTCAAAGTTTTTGTGAAAACAAAATTGTGTGTACTTATGATATTGAAAGTTGGATGCGTGCCAGGTTTCTGAAACCGGCAACTTGTAATTGAATTCTAACGAGACTTCACTGCATGTCTAACAGCTTGCCAGTCAAACCAAGAAAAAAAACCCAGATGTACACCATATTTATAGAAAATGTATTGAAATTTTTTACAAAATCTTAACAGTGATTACAATGATTAAATCACAATGAACATAATTACTCTCATACAAAATTCCCAAGTACACAGAATCTCGCCTTGGGACGACTCTTGTTAACAATCAAAAGGCTTGCTTCAGATTTTCTATTCTTAAGTCATGTGCATAAAGGGCACACACAGCTTGCTGGGTTACAGGAGATAACATTGGTTTCAAATCAAACAAGTAATATTTACACTCCTGAATATTACTGTAAGATTTTGGTATTAGCTGCATTGCCAAACATTTTGTGGGCTGTTGGAAAAAATGCAAAAAAGAAATGCTGCACTTGTGCATGGAGCCCATTAATGATATCACACATGCTATAACAATTCAGGAAAACCTAAGATGATTTGAGCCCTTCCTATTGGTCGAGAGTCTGTCACATGGCCGGTCTTAAATGGTTCACAAAGCACCGCCAGGTGATCAGGAACATTTCCCGATATCACGTGAAAGTTCAGATTCCTATGAAATCTGGTGCCTTTTCCTATATATTGGTTATACCAATACAATCTTCACTATGCACAATACTACCCATGTGTGTGCATTTGTGACAATCCTCAATTCAGATTACATTGGTCCATCACATACTGCACTACCTCACGCACAACGTGCAAGATGTGTGCCAGTCTCGATAAGATTGTATACAACTACTTAGGAAAGGAACATACCATAAAATCGCTAGAGAAGTTTCAAAAAAACTGAAGTAAAATTGTTGAGCAAAATCGTTAGAACGTTAATTTTTTTACTTCTTTAGACTTTCTGACTCAAAGGGTATTTATGAATTATTATGGTAATGTCCTTTACCTTCGGTTCAGGCCATTATCAGCAATCTATTCTCTTAATCCCATCGTTAACAAATGTCTAGGACCGGCCATGTACATATTTATTCCTCAAGGAATAACAAATAGACTAGTCTTAGAACCTGCCTGAAGACTGACAGAGAAACAAAAGGGCTTTGGGAGCAATTGGTACATTCTTTCACTCCTGTGGCTACAGCAAGCCTCTCTTAACTGTAAAAGACAGAACAAATTATTCACTGAAAAATGATAACAAAGATAAGTTTAATTCCTTTGCAGCCTGCTAATTATTCCTGATCAAACAATACTGATTTGCCAAGTTTCTAAACTCTGTGTTTCTCCTGTCTTGAGTTTTTCTGTGTCCTAGTTTCACATCATCTGTTTACAACCTTCCTTCTGGAACACTAAAATGGTCCCATTGAGAAATGTATGCTTTTTTTTTGGTATTGTGTTACCAGTGGGAGTTGGTCATTCTCAACTTCAAATTTAGTAAATCTGTGAGTTCCCTTTTTAAGCTCTAAATTTTCTTTATCAGTTCTACATCTCTGCACCCAAAACCTTACACCCATTACATTCCATCCCATCACGAGTTCCCAGTCTAATTCAAAAGATGAGCTTTCACACTTCAGATGGAGCGAAGCGAATTCAAATTTAACCTTGTTAAACTTTTCGAAGTGAAAATCGCATGAGTTGAAATCACAAATTCAACCTGACGTCATAGTTTCAGGTTGCTGTTTTCGCATTTGCGGCAAGTGTGCACTGGCCTCTAGAATAGATATGTATCAACAGCAAGTCTCCTGAATCAGTCTGTCCACGGTTCACTAACTGCAATGTAATTCAGCTGATGTGCTGAACAATGCAAGTATGCTCACCGTGCATTTTGGGGGGTTTCCTTCGTGGTGTGAGTAAAATACATGCATTAGTACATTGCATACTATGATGAATCATAACATGAAGCTGGATGGTTCTCGGCATACTGTGGTTGGGCTGGTCATGCAGTCTGACACAGTTTCAGAGAGCCCCTCAAAGTTTGAAGTGTGCCCGTCCACGCAGCAATGAGCCAAATGGGGAATGGAGAACACATATTCCAGCACGATCTCACCAAGATCATTCTCCAGAAAGTGTCCGCCTTCACAGACCACCACTCCCACTTGACGACCTCTGGCATTCTGCAGCTCTTCTCAAATGTAACCCGCTCAGTGAAAATGAGTCACAACTGGCCAGTGCAACTATCGAGTTAAAGGCGTTTAAAAGAACCTTGCACCATGTAAAACAAAGGAATCCACATCTGTCACTCACATGATGTCCATTCTGATCAGGATGACAAACTGAGTGATACATCAACACAAACAGCTCAGTTTACTCTTTCTGAGGTAAAATGAAACTCAAAAGTGCCTCTGGCGATCTGACTAACTTTCACGAAGCGGGCCACGAATGACAGCGTCTAGTTACTTCTGTAGAAAATTGATGTTCTCACTGTAAAGTTCCAAATGTGACAAGTTTATAGATGCTCCCACAGGACTGGGACTTGGAGTGTGTACCAAGACTATGTGTGGAACTCACTGAAGGACCGGGCGGAATAAATACTGTCTCATTTATTGCCTGAGGGTCATGACCCAGTCGGTAGCCATGTTGACTTCTGGTTTCCTGATCACCAGTACTTTGCTGTCCTCATTGAAGCTAAATTCTACATTGTGGGTCTCTATGACTGCAAAGAAATAAGACAACAGACTGAGAATTAGTCTCAAATTTCTGTGTGCAAGAACGAGTGACATGTATAATCATTCCAATGCTTGAGTAATCTCCACTGCTTTTGTACAGACACAGAGGCCAAAGCTCATGTAGCACATACGGTCCATTAATGTAATGGCTCTGAGCGGGACCGAGAGAGGGCGCAAGTTTCCTAGCAACAGAGGCTCCTCTGGTGGAAACTCCGCTTTGCTGGTTCACGAATGACAGAGATGCATGGCTTGCGTACGCATCGCCAACAAAATGAATACTTGCCCCTGCTCGAGGCAGACAAGACCATGACAGGAATTTTGGCCCAAATTATATTCCCATGCCTTTCGAACAGCACCACAGGCTTAGGAAATGGGCGCTCGGCAGGGCCAGTGAGATGTTTGGAACTCCAACACTAATGACACTGAGGCAACAAATCCTTAAACATTGCAAAAAGTAGACAAGCTGCTTACGATCTCCAGACAGTTGGATGGAACTCGGCGACTTCTCCATTCCTAATACCACCACCCTCTCTAACCATGATTTAGTCTTGTACCTGGCATTCATATCTAGAGACCTGATTATCAGGAGAAAAAAACACTTGTTACCAGACTGATCTGGGGTGAAGCCACTTTCATCAGTCTTTTGAGGAGTCTAAAACTCTGGCATTAACAGATCACAGATGTAGTTCTTATTTCAAGAGAGAAATTTTAGAAGAAATTGTGAGACCCTTTTATTTTAAAAGTGGACTTAAAATTCTCAAAGTTATGGGGGAATATGATATGAAAATTTTGCATTTATTTTCAAAAGCCCACGAGTGTTTGAAATTTGCAAAATATCATCCCTGGGTATGAGACAATACTGCCTCATACCCAAAAGAATTAGCAGTTTGTACGCAGGACTGTGGGTGTCTGAAGCGGCAAGAATTGTGGGTGATTGAAAATTAGCAGATGTGGATGGACGACTCATCTTGCCTTTGATATACATATTCTCGATGCACTGACATAAGGCAAGGTGACCAAATAATACATGTACCTAAACACAATCTGTCCAATCAGATTAACTGAAAGTTAGCCTGAACTGGCACCCTGGAATTTGTGGGCACCGAGTACAGAGAAAAAAAATACCAAGCTATGAAGTACCAAAGTGAATATTTCACGTGCACAATTATGTGTGTAAAAGGTATTCGTGCAAGAACCAGCACGTGGTAAACCAACATGCGTGCGTACTCCATTCCTTTGCACTACCCTTTCTGATTCAAAATGACGTCAAACTTCGATACTCTTTAAGTCTTACCTTGATTGAATGACGTTGTTTTGGAAGCTAATGTGCTTGTACTGAAAGAACCCTGACTTGAAATCCAAAGAATGGCCGTCGTCCATGTAGAGCTGTCCAGATGCCTGATGCTGTATTACATCAAAACAAAAGGTGGAGAGGCATGATATGTCTAAGTTAATGCTGTATCCCAAACGGTCTTCTAGAGCTATCACTTTATCTGTTGTCAGCGCTTCATTGTGGGTTCCAATGAGCGAAGACCTAAATCTAGCTCTACACAATAGATCCGGATGCAGCCTAAGACTTGATAAGTTGTATGAGGACTGATGGTGTGATGAT